GAGCTTTATACCCAGTAATGAGGCGTAACTGAACTGGGACAATGCTATTATAATCTGGATTTTTTCTACCAATTTTTGGAAAAATTTTTTGGTTATTGATAAGGTGATTGTATTGTACGCACTAGGCATTTGAAGCAAATGTACTGATGTACATTGGCGTCTCATTCATAAAAACAGCAAAAATATATATTTTAAAGTCGTTATTACTAATACATTTTCTTACCCTAGCAAGTTTTTTAAAAATGTATGTAGATGTATCTTTTTATATAGTTAGCATATTAATTGTACAGCCTTATTAGTATTCACGATAGAAGTAATAAAATTTCAGAGTGTCACCAATTCTATTAAATAAAATAAATGATACCCGTATAATACTTGTGTGATAACATATATAAATCCTTTAAATATGGATTTACTAGTAAAGCTTTATTATCGTTATGCTGTACTCAGTTTAAACTATAAATTACCACAAAAATTTTTTTCTCACAAACAAAATTTTTCGTTTGAAATATTAAAATGCTGGAAGAAGAAACTTTGTCCGCCTCTTTCTTTGAGTCTTCTAAATTTCAGGCTTCTGTTTCGGCAAGCCCTGAAGTCCCAGAAGTCAGTCAGTCTGCTTCATTTACCACAGATTCCTTAAACAACATTAACCCATGGGATCCTCCTCAGCCTGATATTTCAACTATTTTGGGTGAGTTTGTTTTATTTGTAATCGATAAGTTTAAGCTAGTGCTGATATCATATATATACATATACATATATATATATTTAGCTGATGTCCTATTACCTGAGGTTTATAATAATGCTTTTATGCAAGCGGCACCAGTCGGAGGGTCAATTTCTATTTCTGCCTTGAGTAAAATTTTAAGCATTAGTGGACTGCCTCACGCGACGATTGAAAAAGTATGTATTACGTGATGTTATGGCATCTGGAAATTAGGTTTATTGATAAGTGATCTGTTTTTAAAAAGATTATAAACTTGGCTGCTGCGGCAAATAGCGCTCGTGTAAATCGCGGAGAATTTAACGTAGCTCTCGCATTAGTGGCGTTGGCACAAAAGAATATGGGTGAATAAAATTTGAAAGTTATGATTAATAATTTTATTCGTAACTTTTATTTTAATTAAACATAAATCATTATAATTAAATTTTAAGATGTTTCAATTGAGACATTAATCGAGAGAAAAGACGGTAAGTTTTAATTGGTTCTGAATTTGTGAAGATTTCATCTGTTTTAATGTAATCTAATTTTTTATGCAGATCTTCCGGAACCAATTTTGACAAATTTAGAAAGCCTTAATTTCAATCGAGATTTAAATTCCTTTTCTGCTTCGCGTCCTCCACCAATGCCTCTACAAGCCGATGATCCGTGGGCTATGCCTACAGCAAATATGTCAAATCCTACATATCCTCAACAGACAAATTTTCCTATAAACAACAGCATTAATGCTCCTGAAATTATTACCACGTTGCCTAGCGAAGACGAATTCCAATGGTTTTTTGATATGGACCATATTACAGTAAATATCGCTCCAGAAAGAGACGGTTTTCTATTTAAACATGTCAAATATATTATCGAATCACGGGTAAATACAAATATAATAAACCATTTAATATTTCATTATTTAAAAAAACCAACTATCTTATATCATACATGACATATTTTATTTCAAGCGACATCAAGCGAAAGTTACAAGAAGATATAGTGATTTTTGGTGGCTAATGGAATGCTTAGTAAAGAAATATCCTTATCGTATCTTACCTGATCTTCCACCAAAAAAGATTGGAGGTAAATTTTCTTAATTCATAGACTATTAACCAATTAACTGTTAGAAAAAATCGGATATTAGAATAATCCGATATCTGTTTGATCTAGTTAACGGATTTTATTTCACAGTCGATGAATCTTTTCTGGAAAAACGACGGAAAGGATTAGCACGCTTCTTGAACTTCATTTCGAGGCATCCAATATTAAAAGATGACCAATTGGTAGAAATGTTTCTCAAAGAACAAATAGTAAGATAATATACATTATTATTATTTTCTAAATGATGGATTTAATTTTTAATGTTATATATATATATATATTTTATCAAAAATAGGAAATAGCAGTGTGGCGTAGAACAAATTCACCGGATCTGGAAGAAGAATACCTTAAAAGAAAGGTTACACCTGAAATGGAACGGCGTATACCCGCAGATTTAGATAAAAGGTTAGAAAAAGTTGTGACAAAATTAGATGATACTGTTGAACATTACAGAAATATGTGCAATATAATGGAGCG